TGATTCAGCATTCGCATTCTAACCGTTGGATGCTGCTGATATGTGTTGTGATGTCTCCATGGTGCATAGTTGTGATCTACGAATGCAGGCCGTGGCCTTATACTCTGAGATCTCCCTGGTGCAGTGTTAGGACCAAAGCCAGCTACATAGTTTTGATCTTGTACATATCTTGGCCGTGTAGTCATCATCATTGGAGAAGGTTGTTGTTGCAAACCAAAAGGATTGTTTGGTAGCTGATGATACTGATATGGAGGCTGAGTAAGAAGACTATCACTCGATCCAACATTTTCTTCAGGATGCATCATCGCTTGAGACGTTTGAGCGTGAGAATGATTTGTAGGAGAAAGACTACGGTTGCGATCACTTGGAAACGATGTTGAGCCACGGTCCATCGTTTGATCACTCCTGGGAATCTGATTAAAACGTGGGTTATTAGTTACAAGACTACGACTACCTAATTCGACATTAATGGCGGAACAAGAAGAAGGCAAAAACAGAGACAATATCATTTATGGTTCTTGATCATCGCAAAGTTTCGAGATTTACCGTAGGCAACTCTTCTTGAGGATTCTGATTTCCTTCGTGTGACTCTTTGTCTTCTAGATTGAGATCGAGAACGGAAGTGGTTGGATCAAAATCAAGAACGCTCTCGATAGTTTCTTCCTTGGGCTCGTCTTCCTCTGTTCGCACTTCTTCTTCTGTGGTTTTGGCGGGATCAACCTTCTCTGCTCGCTCTTCTTCTTCTTCTTCTTCTTTCACGGGTTTATCAGGTGGAAACTCAGCCAAGGCCAGTGATGAGAGCAATAAAGAAAATAAAGAGGAATCAGCGAACAAGGATACGTTGAAAGAAACTTATAAAAAGGCGCGAGAGGTTTTAACAGAAGGAAGAAATCTTGCGATGATTAGACCGTTAAGGTTTTTTTTAGCCTGATTCAAGATTCCACAAAAATGATATTCTCCACCAATCGAATCATTAGAATCTCACGCGGGCGTGAAAGGTTAATATTTACTAAATTACACAAAGTGGGAATTGTAAAAAGAGAATCTTTTAAGAATACTGGAGTGAATTTTCAATCAAAATCGTGTCCCCTGTTTTTATGTTGTCAAATGTCAACAGTAAAGAAAACTTTTATTGGTGGTAAATTTCACTAAACTAAAACGAAGAGAAAATCTTCCTTCTTCTAGACTTTTGAGAAGAGAAATCTTGATTAAAATTTTAAAACAATCATCAATCATCGTTTCATTTACAGTTCACCAAAACTTAGGCTTCTTCTGATCTTAACGTCTCCTTCTTCTTCCTTAGTGATAAGACATTCCAGTGTTTGGGGATGCATTTGTTGATTAGGGTTTTGAGAAACAAAGGGCCAGAATCTACGACCAGTCCATTGGAGCTGCTGCATTCTTTATCTCGCCTTCTGTGGTTTTACCACTCTCACCAATTCTTGAAGAAGAGGCATCTGTTTTCATTTTGGCCTCATCACTCTTTTGATCATCATTTATCTTCTTTTATGCTGTTTCATTAATGGCGGAACAAGCAGTAGGTAAACCAGACGGATGATCACATAGCTCTAAATTTATCTTAATCGTCTCTTCTTGAGGATTCCTCTTTTAGTTGTCTAAGTAATTAAACTCTCTGTCAGTTTTTGAAGCTGCAGCTGGAGTTTTAAAGCTCGAAGTGGCAGTTCTTTTCATGGATGAGGCCGATCCTTAAGGATCATATTCTGGTGATGATTCTGCAATGTGAGAAATATTTCCAAGAGATTGTTCAGCACAAGTTAAAACTCCGATGTTAAAATCAGGAAAAGATATTGTACCTCTGTTTTCAGAATTCTTTACTGACTTGTTTGACTTGCCAAATCCTTTACTGACTTTTTGTCTTGCCTTGAGGCATATCCGATTTTGTAACACTTATATCTCCTGAGTAAAAGCAGAACGAAAACATAAGCCAAAAAGAGTTCAATGAAGCATCCGAGCTCAACATGCGTGAGTTTAAAAGCACGAGAAGAGATCAGACCAATAAATCTTGCTTATCATGAGCAGGCTCAACGAATTAGCTTCCAAGACACCATAGTAACAGAAAAAACTAGCATAGACTTCACATTAGAATGCTAAATAATAAACCTTCCAGTTAAAAAAATTACCTATGACCCTACGACCATCACTTCCTGCGGCATTCCATATCCTCTAAAATGGCTGACAAAGCAAGTGGAATGATAATCAACGACGGCATAAAGTTAATTTTCTTTTGTGAAATTTTAAGGCAAGTATGGGGAAAAACTGACAGGAACAAATAACATATATACTGAAAGAAACAGACATGATATTTTGCATCCTTAACAAATCCAATGGTCACAATAGCCAGCCATCTGTTAAAAATATGCACACACAACCAAATATTAGTTATACTATCTGGAATCTACTTTAATTCTTTTGATAAAATTACAAGAAGAAAGTCCGAGTATAAGTAAGATGTGAAAAACATACATTTGAGCCATTAGAGAATCCATCAGGATCATCTTTTGGCCGATAAGTAATTTGGTATGTCAGCATCACGTCATTCACAATGTTGTGATACGTATAGAATAGATACATAACTCTGGGAACAAGTAGATTTAAAAATTATACCAAATGAATTACATCAAAATCGAGGCCCTTTGTTTTACCTGAATCACAGAACCAAACCACAATCTGAGAGAAGAACACTCAGATCATCGTCAAGTACAACATTGGCTAACTTCTTGAATGGTACACAGCTTGAAATGTCCTCATTCCCCATTGACTGAAACACCACCTGAAATGTGGTTCTACAAAGTAAATCATTTGATTCTTCTGAAGCTAAAGCTGAAACATTTATCTAACAGTAACTGATTCACCACAGAAGAACCATCAAGTATAAATTAACGATCGACATTAAGAGAGTAACCAAAACTTGCTAGAAACGGGTAACATCTTTCGATCCCTGAAAACTCTAGAAACCAAATGTGTCTCTTCACCCTCGTTAATGGGTCTCTGATACTACACTAGCTTCCTCTACAATTTCCTCATCCCCTACAAAGCTTTTTTTCCTATCCAGTGAATGAAACTGATTTAGACATGTGCAGAAAATTTCGGACAGGAGTGCCATTATCTCTTCAACACCTAACCAGCATCAAAGTCATAATCTTTTTTTTTTTTAAATTGAGAAAGTCATAATCTTTTGTCCACATAAACACAAGAAATTGGCAGAATCACAAGAATTTCATTAACCCATTGGTTCTGCTGTAGAATTAGGGTAAATTCGACCAACGAATTAAAAAAAAAAAAAGCTTGTTTAGTCCTACCTGAATCAAATGTAATAACTTAAACTGAGTTGAAGAATCGAAGTGAGAACAAAGACATGCTTAAATTAAATTTTTTCACCGCTAAGACAACCTAAGAGGACAAAATTTAGGAAAACACAGATGTTGCGGTAGATATTTAGGGCAACGAAAACTAGAACACAAAGGTTTCAGGCTTACCGAAAATGGCAGCAAATCCATTTGAAAACGAACATCAGAGATGCAACGACGAGAATCAGAAATTCGAGGGTTTCAGAATCGATCTGGAAAATTTTCAAAAAGAAATTTGGACCATTTCTCGATTTGTGCGTGTCATCCTTGCGCAGGGGCCATGCTAATCTTCTCTGTATCGTTCCAATTTTATCGGATGTCCCCGAAGGGACAATCGTCTCTGTCACTCCAACGTTATATAAACAAAGCTTGTCCTTCTCATATAAACGATGTGGGACATTTTGATATATCGCTTAACTATTAAATGGGCTCGTTAATACTAAAAGGCCTTTTTCTATTATTCTTCGTGAGCCCATTACCATTATTGACCAGGCCTCTTTCGAAGAAGAGAAGCAAACGACGCCTTTTGGTAGTTCACCGTTTTGTTTTTGTAGGTTGTAGCCACTAGCCATAGTTTTAATAGATTGCATCTGGATCTTCCGTGGTGACCTCCTCTTCCAAAGTAATAAGATGTTCCAGCGTTAAACACCTGTGACTGCATTGGCTGCGTTTAGAATTTAGTGCCAAAAACTTTGTTTTTGTTTTTCTTGTTTGTTGTGGAACAAGTTTTTATCTGTTCATTACTAACCCATCCTCCTCTTTGTTGACAACATAGTCTGCATTTGTTTGTCTAATACATCTGAAAAGTAGAGAATCACTAAGATTTCAAACAGAAGAAAACCTAAATTAGTAACACAAGAGAGATTAAGGACTCTATAATATCCATTCGATTGCTTGGGAGCTTTTTTTTTCCCTAAAAAGAGATTAAGGACTCTATAACAAACCTAAACTGTTATGCATATTGATACTCAACTATTGTTCTTTGGTATTTGAGACATGACAGTTTCGATCCTTGATTATCATCATAAACTCAGCAACAACAACAACAACAACAACAACAAAACAGATATGTTCTTATCATGCAAGTCATTTCAGTAACTAAACAAGTAAGATCCGTTTGATTCAGTTAATTGGACCTACATTGTGTTTTAGATTAATATGTTACAGGCACAAACACACACTAAAAAGAATACAACACAGAAAAAATTCTATGATCTTTTAAGTACAGACAAGTTCAAAGAATCAAGTAAACACACAATTTTATACTAGAGGTCTTCAACAAACAAATATTACAATTACAAATAAGGATGATCCGAGATTCACAGAAGAAGAAAAATAACGAAACTCCCCACCAATCGAATCATCAGCGACTGGAAGCAAGCACATTGATATTTTCCTTGAGCCATTTCACATGAAATAAACCTCTTTTAAGCTGCAGAACCTGCTCACTCCTCAGGATATGATGACTCATTTTATGTCTTTGGTTTAGACCCTTTCGTTGTTGTTGTTTCTGAGAACTGAACATCTCTTGTTCCCGCAAATTCACAGAGATCATCCGGAAAAATAATGCTTCTTTACAATTCACTAGTCTGCGCTAGGCTCGCCTGAACCATGACGCTCTCTTCTGATCATATCTAGAAGATCTTGAACTACTTCAGACATCAATGGTCTGAATTCTGGTTCAGACTGTCACAAGAAAAAAAAAAAAGAAGAAACCCCTTTTTGGTCAAGCAAACACAATCACAAACATCTAATCACAGTTTTTTTCATTGTTCAATATATGTGCTTATACCTGAACACACCGGGAGATTATATCAGCAAAGTGTGACAATGACTTTGCAGGGTATTGTCTGTTAAGAGATGGATCAACCATTTTTCCCAATGCATCGATATCATGAAGTTGTGGGATTGCCCACCTCACTAAGAACTGCTCTCCTCTACTCCGGTCCCTATGAATCGACTCATATGAATACACATTTACACATAAAAAAAACAAAAAAACTAAGCCAAGAAAACAATCGTGATGCGCATACCTGTCGTAGGACATTCTACCCGTCAAGAGTTCTAACATAACAACACCAAAACTGTATACATCACTCTGCCATGTATAGATTCCTGAGTCGAATTCTGGAGCTCCATATCCGTAAGCCGCTAGCAATTGTCCTGATAACTGGTTTAACACAATACAATAGAACAGTTGGTTTTAGATATTGAAGAAAACTACACAGGTGAAGCCATTAGAATCAAGCTCATTGGGTTTTAGTACTTTACCTGACTCACAGAGCCTGATGATATTAATGGGGCCAAACCACAATCTGAGACAAGAACACTCAGATCATCGTCGAGTAGAACATTGGCTGATTTGAAGTTTCTGTGTACGATAGGTGGTTCACACACCTCATGCAAGTACCTTAAGAACATTAACATAAGTCAGAAATCGGGTGCAAAATGCGATTGAAATTTTTTTTTTACCATTTTTAAGTAAGAAACAAGAAACTTACTCAAGGGCTCTAGCAGCTCCAAGTGCCATTCTGACACGTGTATTCCACGAAAGTTTCTTCTTGAATTCATCGTCTGAATGCAACCCGTCTTGTAGTGTACCGTTACTGCAATACTCGTAGATCAATAGTCTTTGGTCGTGCTCAGCACAGTAACCCACAAGTTCCACGATATTGGCATGGCGAATCCTATCTATGTCGTTCACTAGTTCGATGAATTCATTATCCTGTTGTTGTTCAGAAGCCCGCTTGTCCAACTTCTTAACAGCAAACAGCTTTAAAGACAAAATAAAATACGAAAAATTAAGGATTCAAAGCCAAAACAGAGTTTTCTGAGCCAGAAATGTTTAGATTTATACCTTTCCATTGGGAAGCCGAGCCCTGTAAACACTCCCGAGCATGCCTGAGCCAAGGAGATTTTCCTGAGAGAAGCTTTCTGTGTACTGTTGAAGAGATGCAATGGAATAGTGCTTCACAGAAGTAGAGGGTAAGCGTGTTTTAGGGGAAGGCTTCTTGAAGGGTCTTTCGGGAGAGTTTAATGGCATAACGGTGACCTTCTCAGCCAAAGGAGGAGGTGGTGGTGGTGGAGGAGGAGGAGGCGGTGGAGGCATCAACATTGAAAAGTCAATATCTTGACTTTCTTGTCGTGATATAGGCGGTGCAGGTCTCTGCAACCTACCAAGGTCATGTAACACCTTTGGTTCCTCTCCAGCTTTCGTGAAAGGCACTGTTCATAAGCACAACCCGAGCATTGATTATCGAAATGACAATAGGAATGTCAATGGCCAAACTTTGCATATATCAATCTTTTACCTTTTTCAGATCGACAGGTGGTGGCAGTACAGGAGCCCGTTTCTAGAGCGT